TTGTGTGTCTCGGGCTGCTGTGAGAGCCGCGGGGAGGTGAGGCAGCCGGGCTGCGGGGGGCGAGGACCTCTGTAAACCACCTTGCTGCTGTGCGGGCGCCGCGCGGGAAGGACGTGCCAGGGCGTGAGGCCGCGTCTGTGCGGGGGCTGCTAAAACCCCTGCGTTTCCAAACTGAAACAACCGAGCATAGTATTCCTCAGCGCGCAGGGCAAACGATACACCCCTGGTGCAGGGGAACACCTGCACAACCCCGTCCCCGCACGCGAGGCACAGGCACAGTGCGGGGCCGCCCCGTCCAACAAGGACTGGGTCCACAAGGCAGCCCCTGGAGGGCTGTTCATCCTGAGCAAAGGTGGCACAAGCTCCCCCAAACTGTAACAGTTAACGTTTTCTTTACCGTAGAATAGTATGGTTTAAATTCTTCCCTGTGAGGGTGGTAGAACAGGTTGCCCAGAGAAGCTGTGGCTGCCCCATCCCTGGGGGTGTTGAAGGGCAGGTTGGATGGGGCTTGGAGCAGCCTGGGCTGCTGGGAGGTGTCCCTGCCCATGCAGGGGTGGGACTGGGTGATCTTCAAGGTCCCTTCCAACCCAAACCATTCTATGATTCTAAATATGCAACAATATAAGGTAGTTGTTAAGATGCTTATTGGCCAACTATGGGTTTGGAGTGTGGTATTTCAGTAAAATGTGAAATCAAAAAAGTTAATCTATTAGACCTGGCCCTATGGGTGATCTTTCAAAGTTACTGTGTGAAGAAGACTGATACATGATTAGTGGGGTGAAGTTACTTCCCACTGTGTAGGTAACAGACTTGTAAGAGGCAGGGTAGCACTTCCCAAAGCCCTGAGGCTGTTGAACAGCAGCAAGCTAAGCTGTCAGGGGCTTTTCCTGGCAGTGCAGCAAACCAAAATGAAAAGCTATTTTATTCTCATTTTTATGCAACTACTATATTACTTTAGTGTGTGAAAATACGAGTTAGCAGAGTGGTCTCCTAATTTAGATAGGTCTGAAATTTGAAATATCAAACATGCTATTTTAGAATCCATTAGTTTGTAAGTGCTGTTGTTCAGAATAAATTAACATTTGAAGTTACAGAATTCTAAATCCCAGACTGAAACAGTTATTTGCTAAGCTGTGTATATATGAATATTTTAACTCAAGGTAACATGTAATGAGGAATGGCTGACATTTAGTGTGGTCTAGCAAAGGAGAATGGGAAATTGGTAAAAGGTAAAATAGGGAAAGGATGAGGAACAAGAATGAACGAATACAAACTCATTCACTAAAATCAGAAAAGTTTCTGAAAAGTCAAGTATAAAATTGCTACAGCCCAAGACCTGGTTAGCCAAGACACACACAAATAACCCACACAATGGCCTTGGCAGCATTACACTGATAATATTTTTGCAAGGTTGAATTAGTGCTGAACAATATTCTCATATGTTTGGCACAAACATACTGATATTTTTATGAAGTGTCAAGCATGTATATATTCCTTTTTTTGCCTTCAAGAAGGCATCTGCCACAGTTAGTGAAAAGAGCTTCCCAGCTGACTCCTGTTGGCATTTCTGTGTCAGCTACACAGGGCTCTTGCACTTTGCATGTGTATGTGCCCCTGTTCCTGGATTTTGAGATCTGGCAAGGGCAGATTTGGCAGGCAGTGGTGAGGGCAGCAGACTCCTTTTCAGTGCTCCTGTGTGTCATTGTTCCACACACTGTCCATCTCCTCCCACCATGAGACACTTCAGTAAGAGGATCCCTTGCAGGCTTTCAGTAGCAATGAGAGCTACCAGAAGCTTTCCAGACTGGTGGTTCTCCTGTTTGGGGGCTGCAGGTGAGTCTATATATTTTGGCATTGAAGTGTCATGCACCAGTCACGCAAAGATACGTATCCTTCACAAATCTCAGAGGCTGAGAGAGCAGAAATACTCCAACAGATGAGAGAAGACTGAAAAAGAAGCTCCTCTGTAGAATGTAAGCTATAGCCTCAGACACTGTCCTCATGTATGTATCCAGTGAAAACCATAATAAAATGTTGTGTTTGTTTGCATGACATTAAAAGGGGAAAAGGTCTTTCCCCCTGATGGTAGCTTTAATCTGTACAGTGCCCAGACAGGGCCAGAAGCTGCCCATTAAACCCCCCCCTGCAGAGCTTACACAGGTGCACACGCCTCACACCTAGAGAGGTGTTTGTGCATGTACACAGGTGTATAGACACAGGTGTATGCCAATTTAAAATTTTGAAAATCCCTAATGATAACATTAAAAAATACAATATTTTTTAAAAAGAAAGCTGTAGGGAATATAAAAGGAAGTTGGACTGTTAGTTGGCATCTGGAGTTCATGGGCTCAAATTTCTTAGCCTTTAATAGCATTAAGTGCTGACTGCTGAAGATTAAACACCAGCCTGGGGAAGCAGCATGATCTAACAGGGCATTTGCCTCATACCAGGAGCCCAGGCTCAAACACTCTTCGTGTGGGGAACTCCATGGGAAAAGGGGGTATTTATGGGCAGTGTGGCCTCATACAAGTTATTTTTCCCTCCCTGTGTCTCTTTTTTTTTTCCTGTCCCATGTATCACCCTCCTTTCTGCAGACACAGGGACGTCCCCAGGGCTCTGCCTGCCTTTTCTGTGTGTTGAGACGTGTTTTAGTCGGGCTCTGTGACACTGTCTTAGTAACATACAGGCACAATAATGGAACATGTGATAAGCAATTAATTAATCATTAGGTTCTTTTCAAATTTGAACAGAAACTTTGGAGTTACTAAAACCAAAACTTGCACATATGTGAGCTGAGCTTTTCAAATTTGGTATTTTAAGAGTGCACACCCTCTCAGGTGACTTGTTTCAAGATCCTGCATTAGCAACTTAAATATTAAAACAAAAAGTAATATCAGAACTTCCTTTCGTTCACTGTAATATGTTCATTTTCCAATTTATTAAACTCGTGGTGCTAGACAAACACTCATCTAAATTCTTCTTGTTTTTTAAATTCATCTAAATTACCACAAATGATCTGAAACCAGACTGAGATGCCATGGTAATTTGAAGTGTAAGTGCTTTTGAATTTCAAGTTGCAAGACATAGACTGCAAGATCTGGAAGAGAAATTCCAGGTTACAGACTTATGGAGGGAAGAAGGACGTGGAAAAGGGCAAATGAGTTGCTTGAATGTCTAAGTAAGATTTTTGCATTTTTAAAGGCCACTAATTATCAAGAGAACCAGTGAACAGCAGCTGCAGTATTTAGCTTTAGGCTCTTAAGAGTCTCATGTGACAAAAAGCATGGAAATTTCCTCTTTCCTGACCCTAGCGAAATTGCTCTTCTTTGTTTTTGCAGTGTTCATTGTCTTCTATATGGAAAATAATAGGCACTAAATACAACAACTAATGAATAAAAATTAGC